TAAGCTTAAACATTTTCTTTAAATTACTACTTTAGTTCATATCTGTAATTTTATCGTAGTCTTTACTAATGTTAGATGCTGCTTGTAAGTGTCGGCTTGCATGGTGATGTAGATATACAGGGCGTATCATAATAAAGGATATTGAAGTTTAATGACGATTTATATGAAAACTATAGATTTCATAATCAAGCATTTTATGTCTGTTGTAAAGGACAGAATGTCCTCTTGTTAATGACACCCCGATCATACTACTACTGTCACAGTTGACTGAATAACAAAGCATTGCTGTCCACCGTGTCAAAGGTGCACTGTGCCAAGTTTGATAACATTTCCTTCTTAGACACATAACCCACTCATTGTTCAGCATTTCAATATGTCTGGGCTGACACAAGCACTAAACTTAAGAATTTATCTGTGAATGCTAACTTGTCACAGTGCACCAGGGAGGTGAGACTTTAACTCACATGCCCTGAGTGCACCTTTCACATGGTGGACAGCAATGCTTTGTTATTCAGTCAACTGTGACAGTAGTAGTATGATCGGGGTGTCATTAACAAGAGGACATTCTGTCCTTTACACAGACATAAAATGCTTGATTATGAAATCAGTAGTTTTCATATAAATCGTCATTAAACTTCAATATCCTTTATTATGATACGCCCTGTACAGTAGGTTTGCGGGTGCACCATGTGTGAGAGAGAGAGAGAGAGAGGGAGGGTTGAGGAGCCCTGAAAAGGACTCTGACTCAGTAATCTTTCTTGGGGGTGTGGTAGTCCTGAAAAGGACTATTTGTTATCTTTCTTAGCATATAGTTCTAAGGAGAACTATAGCGCTTGGAGAGGATGAGTAGCTTTACTAATGTTGTTGCAGTGATTTCGAAATGGTCTATAACTTTAACCATTTTTCTTGGAAAATGGAAAATCTTTCCCCCCTTAATCTCTTAAACTATCAAATTGATAAATCGTTCATTTATTCAGATCATGTCCAACTGTTAATTAGTGTAGGCCTCTATACAGAAAATGGGCAAAACTGTTAGAATGATATACACGCAATGCTGATCTCTGTAATAATAGGTCAAGTGAACTTATCTTTAGAACTGGGTCTACTGATTACCCTCCCTCAGGGAGGTGAATCTACAAGAAAATCATGATCTAAATCGGATTGAATCACTCTGGTCAAATTGTCATTACGAATTCTGTCAAATCGATTTCAAAACCTTTAAACAGCTTACAGTATAATGCATTATAAAGATGTACAATAATTCAGGAGGACGCGTGCATAGACGAGTCACTTCGCCGGTAGCTCGGTGAGCTGCTTCCGGCCCCTTCCCCGGGGAGAGAGAGCTGGTTGAGTCAGCCCATCCTGTATGTATAGAGTCACACATGTATAGAGCTCATATATAGTTGGGACCAGGGATTGGGTGATTTGGGGAAGGGGGGGGGCAAAAGTTATCAATTTGTCATACAACTTTCATTTTCCTCTTCACGGTAGTTGCAGTAGAAAGAATTTACTGATTGCATCCGACGGTAAAACCATTCGGCATATTGCCCTTAGTCTAACTTGCCTATAACATAAAAATACCGTTAGGTTACGATTTTTTTTATTTGGGGGTTGGGGGCGAACCTGCATGTGGGCATAAAATGTCTTTCATAAACTTATCCAATCTTAAAGTTGTGAATATGCTTTCAAAGAGATAGAATTAGATGCGATTCAAATCACTGATTGAAATAACTTGGGCCTTAATCCACAAGAAATGGGGTACTGCATTTATTCTTTACAAAACCTATTTGTCGGTATTTTACAAAGATTTACTTACTCATAATTTTGGATTTAAATGTATACATGTATTATCAGACTTACCTGATCTTCAATGGACCAATTTCGTTACTATGTACAACGGGAATAGAAAACACTCCGATTTTATAACTTAATTTCGTAGTCATCCATTCATGGAATAAAAAGGAAACTGGAATATATTTATTTATATTTCGTGGAAATATAAGTTCTATTGTTTCGTAATTAATCGCAGAAAAATGTTGTCTCACTTGGTGGAAGGTCACGTTTCCTTTCAAACTAAACTATTTTGATATCTAAGTTAATTGCTTCTTATCATTTAAGTGTTATACTTCATCATGCCTATTCAAAGAAAATAAAAAATAAAGAGCTTTCGATAGTAAAATAATGTAATATGAAAGCTTCCCTTTTTGGTAACAAATTTCTGCGATCTTACACTTAGCTTCCTTCAGGTGATTATGAAAGTATATTTTTGAACTAGTTTTTAACTATGAATACCCTGTTGATCTATATCTGTCAGGCCGATTACGTCACAATGGGTTCTTCTTTGTGAATCTATGGCTGTCATATTTTTGTACAATAGTTGTTGATCTACTTGTATTAATTCGTCTAATGATCGCAAGCATCGCATTCTATTTCCTTGCTACGATGACTCTTTCAAGAACAGCCGCGAGTACCATTGTCGGTATCTAACAAAATTCAGTTAGAAAATTAGCCTTGATTGTCAATAACAATTATACATTACCAAAAAAAGGATAACGTCTATGTTGAATTATTAAAATACGATCAACAAACCGAGCCCGTCGTTGGTGCAGTTCTACGTCAGAAGTCACTTAATGTGACAGTGTACAAATGAGTAAAAGCAAAATGAAATACAAACACTGCGTTGAATTAATAATAATACTCGGCATTTATATAGCGCTTAATACATCAAAGATGTCTCTAAGCGCTTTGCAGATATACTATTACCCCGGTCATTGGATTCAATACTTGCCCACACACACTGTGTGCACAATCTCCACTCCCTGGGGAGCATTCCAGCCAGGCGTTATTTGACGCTCAAAAAATGTTTGACCAACAATGACGGTCGCATCCTACTGGGTACCCATTTAACACCTGGGTGGATAGTATCAAGTACAGGTCAATATCGTGCCGTGTTGGGATTCGAACCCTCGACCTTCGCATCTCCAGTCAAGCGCCTTAAACCACTCGACCACGACACTCCACGACATTACTGGCTGATAGGCAAACATAACGCAAAAATGACGCCTCATTTGCAATGGGTATTATAATTGGCATTAGATGTATATTTGTTTTTTTCAAAAATTCAGAGTGACGGTTGCCATGAATATATTTCGGATTGTCGCCTTCGCAGAGGTGTTGCCAATCGTTAAAAGTATCTAGCCTCGTTTTGTCACGACTTCCCAGCCGGTGAATCATGTTTGAGAGTTGTTTTGGATCTAGAGTGACAAGACTTAAACAGGGGTCTGATGTGGGGCCAACCAACTGGGAAGGGTGTGTGCAACTAACGTTTCATTGACTCAGATTCTAGATAACAAACTTTTCTCTCCTTTTTTTTCCCTTCACAAACCAGAAACTTTTTTCGCACTGTACTTAAAATCACACGTTCAGAAAATTGCAGTTTGACACACTGATACTGCACTTCCCAAAGAGTTGCCTCGGAAGGGAACATGCATGTTTGGGTGGGGGGGGGGGGCGACTTTTACATAACATATTGTAAAACAATTATTGATAAAATACCCAACAAACATGCATGTTTTGTTTTTTTACCCAACATGGCTACAATAATATTCTACCCATACGTTTTTAGAGCGTGTATGAAAATAGAATATTATTTCATTCATCTTTTGCATATATTTTTGGGGGCAATAGGCATACTTGAAAGAGTAGCCCCTCCCCTGTACCCTCCCCGAATGTTACCAATGTGCAGGCAACCATCACGTTATATTCGGGCAGTGGTTGATTGAAGATTTATTTACGTATTACAGGATTTAGTGCATTTTCATATTACAATATTACAATTTCAATTCATTAAAGTGTCAAAATGTTTTTCGATCGCAAAATGAAGGTATGACTGATGCATGTAAGAAGCTGGTTTTCCTGTTTAAATTAATATTTTGTTTCCTGCTTGAAATGGATAGTACGAGATACTAATACGGGAGCTTTATTATTATATCAAGCCGTATCATCACTTTCATAATTGTATACGTTTGTATTGTTACGATGAAACTTTGAAAGCTATAAAATAATTGCGTGGTATTTAATGACACCCAAGGCTAAAAGTGAAAAGAATGAAAGTAGGCCTAGATGATAATAACTCTTTCAAAACCTCGAATTTATTTTTAATATCCCTGCTACGTAGAGAAACTCACGAATCGGTTTCATCATGTCAATTAATTTAGAATCTTTTAAAGGGATATATCAACTCGTGCAAAGTGAAACATTTTTTTTCCCTGTGAACAAGCCCTGAATTGATTAATTTGTTTCGAAAGCATAACACATTGGCAGAAATTCATTATGAAAGTTATTTTCTTTAGACTCACAAAAAATGTAACGATATAAACCTAAGCTGATTCATGCAAAATGAAAAGGAAAAGAAAATCTTAAAATATTTTCACTGCACCATTCAGATATCATTATAATATTATATCATTTATCTGATAATTATCATATTATCATTCTACCAGTTACACCGAACTGAACTCTCATTCACATTTTCACATATGAACTTGAAGATGTATTTTATTTAAAATTCACGATTTGATTATGACGTCGTAGATCTTGATATACAATAAAGGAATACATTTCACATTTAATGTTGCTTTGTTCAAGTGTTAATGATTTCAAATAAATTATGTTTTAGGCATGGGATAAATAAATGACATAATATAACCTTATAATCATCCTATCAGAAGTTTACCGACAAAATCACAAATTGCCATTTTGGAAACTCTATAATTGAACTTAAAGAAATTAACTTTATAAAGGCAATTTTTCAACATCACACAGTATCACCTATAATTGTAATTATGTTCGGATGATGTAATACCTGATTATGATGTTTACACATTTCTATAGGAAACGCAGAAGGCTAGACATTATTTTTCTTGTCATTTTTTGTTATTTTTTGTAATATCCATTATCATTTTGTTCTTCACTTTTATATATAATTTGTTTCGTTTCAGAGTGTAAAGAAGCGATGGTTTTGTCTGAACCAAGATGCTTTCATCACATTTAAATCAGAAGATGATTCCAAAAAGAGTGATGTAAGTATACCCTCTCCGTATATCTTTCTCATCCCATTCATGTAAAACATTCCAGCTAGTCACTAGAGGTCCAACAAGCACACGGTACTCCATATAGAACTAATGCTGATAAGCGGGCATTAAATCCATAGCCATGAGCTCGAAAAGCCTCCCTAATTTCATGAAGGATGCTGATTCACTAGCTATTTACCTTTATAAAAAAAAAACCATATAAAACATATCTATTCTGTCAATGCCTGCTTAAAAGCATTAAATTAACTTGTTCTTTGGTTTGTTTATAATATTTATTGTTCTTTTGCTATTTTTGAAAACCTTGAAAGCCTCGATGTTCCCCTAAGATGTCTTTCCCCTCTTTCTTTTGTCAATCTTACAACTTTTTAATAATTGTTGAAAATTAATCCTTGATTGGCAAATGTGAAACACAATAATATTGATACTTCAACTTCCAAGCCTCAAAGGTGTCAAAATGTTCATTTTCATCACCTCATGTACCTCAGAACACGCTACACGCATTTCCTTGAATGATTATAATAACTATCATTGTTGGATTGCGATGAACAATTCAATGTAATGGATCTTAGGTTTCATCGAGATACATTTCCGGAACTGTAGATTAATCACAAAACCAAAATATGGTCAGGTATTATTTTAGGCCTTACTTGTATTGTGATATTCGACATTTCTCGTCGAGGAATATCTTTAAGGAAGTAAAGGTATATGCGTATCATGCTTACGGTTGATATTCTATCCTTCTGTTTGTTCGATTCTTATATTATCACGTTCTTTATCTTAGGCCATGTTTTATGAATATAAATAGAATAGACAGAGATAGAGAGAGACCGATGAGTTTCAGTTTCAGTTAGAAGGAGATAACATAACAGGCATTACATGTAATTTTGTTTTAAGATAAAAATATGGAGAAAATTAATCCCAAAACAAAGGTGAATCATACTTATATCATACAATACAATACAATAACGTCATTTCTATAGCGCTCTTACAAACTAACTGTTGTTTCACAGCGCTTTACATAAACGTTATCAAAGAATCTATTGTTGATCATGGTCGATTTGCATACTTTAAGTTTGATCAAAGACTAAACGAAAACATGCGTAAAACATGATGAAGCAAAGGTGAAATTTTATGCTAGATTCTTAAAGACTCTGTAAATGGTAATAGGTTAAAAATGCAGAATAGGTATGAGAAACAATATCAATACCTTTAGATGGGGAAAGGATGGAAAGTGTACAACGCTTAAAATGGGTATAGAAAGCAACACGCGTAAAACAGAAATAACAGAACGAAGGTAAAACGTCTTTTGAAAACGATGGCGGAAGAATCGAATATAAATTATGTCCTATATATACTTACATGAGTTAGGAGTGACCATAGTTTCCGTTTCATCTGAATAACCTTGCCTATCATTTATGGTTGCCATAGATACTTTTCCGCCAACGTCAATTATTCATCACTAAATTGATCAAAAACGCTGAGAACTGACGCAAATATTAGTAGGGGTTTACCCGAGTTATTCCAAATTGATCTCTATCAATCCTCCTTCTATAATTCATCCTCCCTATAAATCACTTTATCCGTACAGATCCAACCAGAACGGAAACGTGATTTGCAAAAAGGATATATAGCGATAAGTTTTGTCGCAACGATACGATCATATTCCGCTCTCCGAACCCCCCTCATCAAAGTATTTCCACATAAAACCAACGTCGACATCAAATTGACTAATAATTTATCCGTATTGCAAGTTTAAAATTTGTGTTAAAGTTGTGATTCAACTCAGTAAGAAATGGTTTGTACAAAACGTGGATAGTGCATGTTTTGCCTATACACGCATCAGAAGAAGAAGAAGAAGAAGAAAGAGTATTTAAATGTATATTCATCATATTAAATGTATATTGTATCAAATGTATACTAAAACAGGGCCCTATATGAATGTCAATTATATGTTGTTCCTATGTTCATATGTTGAAGCAAGATTGTTCATGTGCATATAAACAATTATCCTATATGGACACAATAAAAAAAGGAAATGAAATGAAAATGAAATGAATGTCAAATTCCAAACACTTATTTGAATATTGATTATAGTCTATCTTGAGTATAGAAAAGTGGCAGCTTTATCGAAATTGTATAAACAGGCAAGGTAATACAATGTAAAATAATCATCGTGCAATTTCCTATTTCATTAACATGATAAATGTAATGTGTTTTGGGATGTGACTTTTAATCATACAGCGCTTTAAATTCGTACATTATACCTCTGTCACATTGCCAAACCGACTACTGCGTTTGCCGTTCAGGGTACATTACTAAAACATTTTTTATTCTGTCTAGTCAAGGAGGTAGAAGACTCGACGGTTCAACGCCCCCCCCCCCCTCAACTTTGTTTATGTGTGGGTTTCGGAGGATCACGCCCTCCCTCAATTTTTTTTGGTGCTGAAGGGACAAAAAAAAAAATGTGCTCTTACCCCCCCCCCCCCCCCCCCCCCCCCTTTCATCGGCCGGCTGAGTCGTTGCAAAATTTTCCCTCAAAAACTTGAAACTTGAAACTACAAATTTTAACACCCCTTCCCCCCCCCCCCCCCCCCCCCCCGTACGCTACTGCTCGACGGTGTGACACAGGCGTTATGCATGAAAACCCATCCCCATTGTCTATCATGCTGATCATATAAAGCGCATGATTTAAATCCAATTCCCATCATTCACGATTTCACCGGTCATTTTATGCTCGAGGGACTCACTCAAGAAGAGATTTGGCAACTGAGAAGCTTTTTAATCCAATCCCAGATCAACAGGAGCAGGATGCGGCCAAACAAGACCCTGTTTTCAATCTCCCAATCTCCCCTCATCGTCCCCATTGTTCCGTTGTACCATATTAGTCATGAGAAACTGTTACATGGAGATAGCAACATGCGGTCCTTTGTTTATTCATTTCTAATATTTTCTGGTTGCCATGGCAGCAGGAATGTCTGGATGTGCTCCCGCTCGTGGATGTGCAGACGGTGAAGAAACAGAACACCAAAAATTACAAGTATTACCCCTTCGAGGTCATCACCTTGCAGAAGACACTAATATTCGTGAGTATTTCAAGAATAGGATCTTAACGATTATATAAAAGTCAAAGAAAGAGCGCACAAAGAGGAAGTACTATCATTAAGGTTGTGGGCGTCGATTTTTGTTTCAGTAGGGGGGGGGGGGGTCGGGATGAGGATCAGTAGCTTCCAATACTTGAAATTAGCTGTGAATTATTGAACAGAAAGGAAGAATGGGAAATGTGATAGTGGGCCAGATTAAGCATTTCGATGTAATTATACATTTGCATTAGGAAAAATATAATGATTAGGGGGCCACCGCTCTACGATGAGGGGGGGGGGGGGGGTAATTTGTCTCTGAATACGACAAGTGCACTTGCCTACGAGACTACAAGATCATCTATTCAATCAAAGGTTGATTTATCAACTTACTTTGTCTAAACATCTATGATCTTTCTGTCTTGTATTGTTTAAGAATAATGCACATATTAATCTCATGTTTTTCAAAGGAATTTTCAGTAATGTATAAGGCTTAAATTAACACAATGGCCCGAATTCACAAAGCAAGGTTTGAGCTCAGACCAAGGTTTGAGCTCAAACCTCCTTTTGTTTCGCCAAACCTCCTTTTGTTCTTTACAAACCAGGTTCGTAAAAAACGCGTAAAACGCGTCATATGACGTACGAAAACCAAGGTTTGTCGACAAACCTCCTTTGTGAATTCGGGCCAATGTGTTGAGACCTCCTCAAAACTGTGGATAAGACATTGTCAATAACATCACACCATCTTTGTTATAAGCAATTACAAATCAAAGTTTTAAAACATCTTCTAAAACGCATCTTGTATTCTTTAAATTTGATATTTGAATGTGACATGATTTCTTCTTCCTATTCTCCTTGTATAACTTTTTGTCCTTTTTAAAGGGCTATCTAAATATTTTGGACATCAAAACCATCATATATTTCATCAAAGGTTCTTATCTTGATTTATTTTCCAGTTAACTGACAGTGCATACGAACAGGACCAGTGGGTGAAAGCATTCCATAATGCCATGAAACTCCGAAGTTTCAACCGACAGAAGTCTGACGTCACATCCAAATATTCAAATGGCAAAGACAGAAGGTAATCATTTTTTAAGACTAAGACATGAGCTATATCCTGTAAAAGCTGAGGAGAGTTGTTTTAACCAGTCTCTTACAATACCAAAACTAACGATCTAACTCCTTAACTCTCTATATCCCCCAAAAGGATTTATTTTTTAAATGTAAACTCAGTACTTTTTATCATGTCAAACACATGCCTTTTGATAATTTGGGGAACGGAAAAAAGAATATCTGAAAGGAACACAATCTTGTGGTTTGTTTTTGTTATTCTTTGAGAATTAAAAGTACGTGTAGCAATAAATCAATAGGCCTATGCCCTAGGATTTAGGAAGAGAAGCAAAATTGCTATACTTGCCATTAACATGTTTCTGTAAACAGAAAATGTATGAAATATTTTGGAAATACACCTGTCACGGGTAAGAGAAAAAATTTAAAAGAAAATCAAAAGCGCAAGATATTATTTCATTTCATTTCATTTTATTCCAACAAGACTGAATAATTCCATCACTTGAGCTATATCAGACGCAATGCGTCTTAATGAGGAGTCACCCTTTTCTCCTTTCTATACAAAGTAAACATATGGATGACTGTTGAGTCATGTGTTATGAACCTATCCGAAATAATTATCACGAAACAACAAAAGAGAATAGATTGACATGAACACATATTTGGGAGTTTGGCGGGAAATGTTCGATAAAGTGCGCTTTATCACCTAATAATCAACGTATTGAATATGATTGCTAGCCTGCTTGAATCATTATGGCTCAGCTGTCGTTCAATTGGGATGGCTTATGTATCAATTTCGCACTTCCACGGGGCTGGATTAATATCCGAAAGGGGTGTATCATTATATCTTACGAGTTCATTACAATCAATGCGATGTTTTGATAACAGTCATGAATGCCTGTTAAGAGGCCACGCGAGGCGTAGCTACAGTACACAGTTGGGTCAGGGGGAACCACCCCCTTCTCAAACTGTCTATTAGTAAATGCATCGGATCTCGAAAATGGGGAGGGGGTTGGGTGTAACAAGCCTATTCTAGAAATGTATTTGGGCAAATCCGTTCAACCTGTACAATAATAATGTATTTGGGTTTAGGATGGGGAGGTGTTGGGGCCTCGGGGGTAACACCCCCTTTCGTGATGTATCGGCAAATTCATTCGATCCTCATCTGTTAATTGAATGGATGATCAGAGAGTAATGCCCCTTTAAACAATGCCGCTTGGCAAATCCATCCAACTCCTTATGCGTGTGCTTTTTTTTGTTGGGGGGGGGGGGGGGCTACATAGATAACTCACTAACCCCAAACTTATTTTGCCAAATTGTCGAACCGTACTTTTACTGTATGGTACATGCATAGAGGATCGTGGGTACCTCCTTTACCGCAAGATGTATTTTCGACTTATCAGTGTGTTAATGATAATGACACATTTAACCTCGTTTTTCACAATTAATGTCTTCCGTCGGTAAAGCCTCCCACACATTCATTCAACAACCCCTACCTCCTCGTTCAAAATATTCTAGTGACGCCCTCAAAGGGGCGACTTGGCGGTGGACCACAGATGAAGACGGAGTTTCTGTTGCCTTGTGACTAGGACTGTCTGATCCAATATGGCACCTGTTGGCAAGGGATTAGGTTTTAAACTCTAGTGGTTGTGACGGTGTCCACTTTGCCATCCTCAAAACTAATCAAAATGAATCATGTATTAGTCACGTGCGTGTGGCCAACAGTTTCACATCTCTGTACGATCAATGGGAGACTTTCATATAACAGCTTTCTGATGTCTCTTTCCATTTTGTTTAATAGGATGGATGGATGTGATGCATTGTTTTAAACGTGAAATTTCTTGATTCTATTTTTGTTGTTGTATATCACCTTGAAAGGCAACGTCATTTCAATTAAATTGTATTCCATCAAAACAATTTAAAAACACCATACATATTAGGCTACGTCGCGACGCGACATACTTGTTACACTCATCATGCTTGCGTCGCTTCAAAAAGCATGGAGAGTATAACAAGTATGTTTGTAGGTAGCAGCCAGAAAGGAAGTGACCCTCAAATTTAATTATATTATATTTTGTCTATAAAGTAGCCCATCTTAAATAAAATTAATACAGAGTTAAATTTAATCAACTCAACAAAACGCAACATTACAACGCACATGACTTATTCATATATTATACACGGGATTTTTTAATATAAATATGTACATACCCTCACAATAATGTAAAGTTTTCACTAAAGGATTACAGCAAATAAATGTAATTTTACAGCTTAAGATTTGAAAAAGCATTTTAGCATGAGTAAGTGTCTTTTAATGTTTTGATATTTTTTAATAAAAAGCAACAATTCCAAAGAGAAACATTCACATTAGCAGTCAAAAGAGTGAATTGCTGGGAATTATCGTACTCATGTAAAGATTACATTGTCAAAAGCATTACATTTAACTCTGTATTCAGTTTCCCAAACACACTAAAGGACTGCTAATCATTAGACCATTTCAAGGCCAGTCTGAAAACTCTAATGGCCAACTTTAACTAATAACACCTTTTTTCACAATGTATAATGTAATGTAAGCATATTTGTATCTAAGTATAGTTTACATCTAGCTCACTGTGCGCCTTGAGCAGCCTTTGGGTGGATATGTTGCGCATTATAAATGTCTTTATTATTATTTATTACAAATATTACATCATTTGGTATGTAAAAAGTATAAATATATTTTAGTAGCTTCAATGAATAATTTATACAGTTGTCAGCAGATCTTTAATATTCGTATGAGAAATAGAAGCAAGAATGTATAAGAATAAATATTTTTGTCAATACAATTCGATTCAATAGTTTTATTTCAAGTGAAAATAAAATACATTGGTTTGGTGTATGTATGTTAATTATTTTGATCTTCTTTTCCTTAATATTTATCTATCCTTATACAAATTATAGTGGTACAGGACTTGCCTCATACAAGGCCCTATAGCTTTTCTTTAAGTTGACCCATTTTTTTCATTTTTTTTAAAGTCCAGGGCATTTATTTAAAATGTATATCATTTTCTTGTTAAATTATGATGTATGTGACTGACTTTTTCAAAATATGTATTTTGAATTTACTTGAAATGAATAGTACAATTGAATTGAATATTTATTTCGAAAAATATGATAGTCAGCTGAATCAAAATACATGTGTCAAAATTTAATGAAGAATTCGTTTACTATTTCAGTAGCTCATAACAACTTTTATAACTTGTTCGTGATTTTCCCTTCACTTTCATTTTAATGGTGAATGATGTAATAAAAATGAAATTGACAAACTATTTTGTTTGATTTACAGAAGCAGTACCGGTGCGAGAAAGCTTTCTCATATAAAGAAGTACATGCAAGATAACATCCGACCCGGCCAGCAGCGAAAATCATCTGGTGTGGAGTGCGACCTCGGCGAAACACCCGACTACCAAGGTATCCCCATCGGGCCCATGGACGTCGAACATGATGACGTGTTCGAATCCAATAAATCAAAATCCTCGTCGACGACGAAGAGCCCACAGACTGTGCAATACGTCGCCCTGCATGGAGACAAGGTCGACGGCGGTGGTATGAGTAACAGCGGCAAGAGTCGGGCAAGCGATGACAGCGGACAGGGATCACACGAAGTCCGTAATTTGGACTCGACGTCGAGCGCGAATACGGCGTCGTCTGATGGCGACGTCGAGAGCGTGCCGTTAACGCCTCCACCCGTACCAGCGCCGGCATCATCCGGGTTAAGTCGATCGAAGAAACAACGCGTGTTCGAGGACGAGCAGATTTACGACGAACCTCCGCGCATCGACGAGGATATTTACGATGTTCCTCCTCGTGAAAATGAAAGTGAGGATGAACTCGAGAATGAAGAGCAGGAGAATGATGAAATGGAGGAAGAGGAGCGACTGGAAGATGACAAAGAATATCATTCATCAGGGTTGATCAAATCATCAGCTATGATCAATCTACAGAAGATCCTCCTCGAAGACAGCGAAGACGACGATGACGATGATATAGACGACAACGGCGAAGAAAGCGAATACGAAAACGTTACCGGCCAAAACGACGAAGATAGTTTAGAAACTGCATTAACCGAAAAAGGTGTCGAAAAATCAGCAGTAGATCAATTAAAAGATTTGTTAGAGAGTTTTGATGATCTCTAACAAGAGCTGGGACTAGGACTTTGGAATAATTTGATTGGAAAGCGAACACAAGAAATAAGGTTGTGACAAGTGTGATCACACGAACGGACTAGTGATAAATTGTTTGTATTGTAAATACTTATGAATGAAGGTGACGAACGATCCAAATATTGATGTTTGTAATTATGAGTTTCATTTAGCTTGACATGGCCACGAGGAGGATCCATGTGTAGGCCTACGAGGCGAGGTGGGAAAGGGAGGGGGGCTGCAGACGCCTGACGCTTTTTACAGGCAACCATCACCTCATTTTCAGGCAGTATGGTGTCCGAATTTGTTTATCTTGATCCTGTGTATTTAGATGACGAAGAAACATTTTACCATGTTATCATAATAGAGGTTTTCTTTTTTTCTCAATTGCTAGCAGAATTTTGGAACAAGATGGTTGATATTCGGATAAGAATCATCAGCCCCCACGCCTTCCCCCTCTTGAGAAAATGTGCCAGTACACCATGGGTACAAACCAGAAATCGCGATGTGGATTTAGTTAATGCTGATTTCAGAGACTTGCAAACAATACCAAATGCTCATGAAAATGCGACCATGATATGTACTTAAAGATTTAAACTGGGGGGGGGGGGGGTCAAGAGGTCAGGAATTGCCAATTTTTATTTTTTATTTTTTTCAATTTTTACTACTTTCCTAGATTTAAAGTGAAGCAAAAACGAACGCAAAGAATTTCAAAATCAAACTAAAGCAATTTCAATATACATGTAATGATCATAGTCCGAACAAGATTTCTAAAGGCAATACAATGTAATTTTGAATATTTTGTTGAGTTTGTGAAAGTCTGTGCGTTCATGTTAGATATTAAGGAGTAAAGACGAGGAATCGACCGGAGTCTCATGGGTTGACCACGTGATCACCAACACTTGGACACCGGTGGCTAAAGAGCCTGAAGAGGCTATAACTATTAAGATATGGTGTCGTATGATAACAATTCCCCAGAAGCCATTCAAACAATCGAAATAGAAACTGCACACGTAGTTGTTCTATAGTGGTACCGATACTAGCCATTGAAAGCCTGTGAATGAGTCCTTCAATACCTTCTGAAGTTCAAGTTTCGGTGATGTTATTTTGAGAATGTTTGTTGTCAAATCAAGCAGATGCTTGAAACATGAAGTTTCGTTGAGATGATCGATGGCTACTTTTAATTACCAAGTGGTTTCAGCTACGGAAGGGCACTAATCCCCGCACTAATTCGCTTCAGCATTAGCATATGACGCAAAACTGACCTTACTCATTTCAAAGGTAGTAAAATAATACACACACAAAATACTTCTTCCGCAGAACAATTGAACTTGGAGATGTTTATATACAGTTTTATCATTTACCGTATTCTGAACGAAATAAAATAAAGAAAAGGGTATATTCAATTGGTATTTCATGTAAATGGCAATAACAACGATCGCTAAGACTTTCGAGAAATCCACTCAGACAAGAGCAATACCGTATTGTATATCCCATGGATATCATGACCAGATTACGATTTACGACATTTTAATGTTGAACATTTCAATAGATGATGAAAAAGGCTATCGAAATTGACATGGGTTGACTGTTCGATACTCTTTGCAATGGTAATATCATGCTTATGATTTAGGAAGACTTGTTTGAATTTATTTTCATCATTGTTTATTAATGAATTCAATACATTGTACAAGAAGGGGATAATTTGTTTTTGTTTGCGTGTGCAGTGATGGGATGCACGCCTCCAACGAAGCTCATATTGTACGTTTTCTAAAATGATGCTGTCATTCCTAAAAAATAGTTTTGATTTACTTCTATATCATGTACATTGTATATATTGAACTATTTTCCGATCTTAATGTTAGATCAGAATTTCAGAGCATCTTGTACATTTGTATCTTACGTACCAAATGCTGCCAGTGCCATTATGTTTTATCATATTGGAGTACGCCAACAATCAATTGTTACTATATAAAGGGAAATACTGATCTCGGTCTACTTTCTGTTTGTTTTGATGACTAAAAACAAAGAGGGAAAACATGCGCAGTTTGTTTCTATCTATACATCATACTGCGCATAGTTCATGAGTTTTATCTTCCATTTGAAGCACAAAATGACAGCTACTGTAATTCAATCAATAAATGTAAATGCATGAATATCCCCAAGGGCGTTTCCATGGATATAGCTCTCTCCTAAAAATCACGAGTAGTCATTCCCTTTTCAATCGCCATACGAAAACCGCAATCATGGTCTCTCGTAAGCTATGTTTATTTTAGCGATAGCTTTGATATATTATTTCCTATAAAAATGGCCTCAATATCATGTTGGATGGGATGAGTTATGAGATAAATATATTGGATGAATCATTCACCAAGCCCCCATAAACGAAGCCATCTGTGATAGTATATTGAGCAAGGTTTAGTCGAAAAGTAAAATCAGAATCTCCTAATAAGTAAAAGCATACGTGGAACTAATTAAATACTGAAATGAAATTATAATCGATAATTTTCTCAAACTATTAGGCCAAATAAAATTATTTCGGTTTCTCCTGCTCCGTCCATTTTTCAGCCAGCCCCAGTATTGTTATTTGATATTTTTGTTCGGAAATGAAACGAATAAGAAACTGAGAAAATCTAGATATTAAGGTCGACACAAAACATCAATGTAACACAATTCCACCTGTTTTTGTTTAGCTCTGAAGTGCATGTAAAAATGAAATAATTGAATAAGTTACGTTTTTATTTCAACTGATGTATCAATAGCATTTTCATGTACAAGAAAACTATACCAAATAATAAATTGAATAACGGGAAACTCCCTCCTCAACAAAAATAATCAGGATTTACTTGAAAGATAATTCTTTATTGATGCTAGTCCACACTTTCTATAATTAAGTAAGCCATACCTATGCAATCAATATATAAAATTAATTCACATCAGTCATGACGTAAGCATTAAAGTCAAGTAGTGGCTTAATTCGTATTCGTTCTGAAACTAAGGGGACTTTGTCATAAGAACAAGAGTTTTATGATTTTTTCTTCTCCAGGATATAATAATTGTGAATGTATCACAACCCCTATATTGATATCAGTGGCCGTATATAATTTGATTACAGGTAAGGAAAAAAAAAAAACCTTTTCGGAAGTCCATCAGGTAAGACCAGAAGCCATAAGTCACCGTGACAAAATGGTTGGTATTCTTGAATGTTTTAAGCATCCCTTTCAAAAACAATTACGTTCAAATTGATTCTGAGAATCCAATTTCAAACCCTTCTAAAAATAAATAACTACTTCAACAACCTCGTCTAGTAAGGAAATAAATCATGAGTAAATAATACCGCAAGCAAATACAATGTGGTTGTGGTAATATCACCGGATTGTGCTTTATTGCTTATGAGTTCTTACCATGCATTGAAAAGTTTGTATTATATAGATTATGTGTATATGTATATGCATGTGTTATACGTTGTATATTCCCAAATGCATGCATGTACATGAAACTGTGTGTATATTTCATGTTATTCAATTTATATTTTGATTCTAAAGATTCGTGTCAAAAAATGAGCAATAAAGAACTTTATCTCAAATAATAAGAGTATGCAGTATGCATATTGTGTTTCGTTCGACAATTCCTGGTACAATATCAACACTATATCGAATAAGTAAATATATAATCATTTGTATAAAATGTTTTGAGCCAGCCCGAAAATTCGGCATTTCTTTTTTTGTGCAAAATAATGTGGAAGACGATACAAAAATAGAAAATATAAAATTGTGACAACTGAGATAATTATAGTTATCATAAAATTAATTATAATAATGTTGAATGGCTTTTCTTTTGAGGGACACAATGGTATATTACATTCGCTTTGAGAATTTTTCACTCGTGCCGACTCTTGAAATATGCTCATCAGCTCGTGCGATATGCAACCTTGTATCCCACTCACGGCCATTCAATATTGTGTAATTATTTACTCGCCTTTTAACGATTACAACATTAACTTACCGAGTTATATTGACATCAACGTCATTAATTTTCTGAATTTCCTATTAGTTCTTCAGTTTGGTTGACTATAATTATGATTTATCACATTATTGACACTCGGCAAACTCTACACACCACCAAACACACCAGGAGCACGATCCAACTTCAGGAGAAAGAGAGAGAGATAGGAAGAGCCAAATAATAAAGAGAAAGAGAGAGGGAGAGATACGAAGAACGAAAAAATAAAGAGAAAGAGAGAGATAGAGGGGATAGAGAGATAGAAAGAGAACTATATCCCCTCCGACTTCGTCGGCGAGGGGATAATGAGGGGGAGGGGGGGGGGGGCAGAGAGGGCCAGAGAGGGATATGGGAGGAGAAACGAGAACAAACTGCATACAGTCGCCCCCTTGCCTCCCACTCCGACTCATCCTTGAATAACAAGCAAACATGAGTTGTTTCAGAGAGCAAGCAAAAACATGGTTGTGCACACGCTTGAGCGCTCGACCCATTCAATGCTACTCTACATCTAACTTTAATAACAACAATTAATACATTTTAAATTGAGTAAGATGTGTATAATATTTTAATCAAAATTCATTACAAAAATATTCACAAGATATTTCTTTCATTACATAATTTCCCCTATAATACAATACCACAAATTTTATGAAGAAACGTACAATAAATCGTCATTCTGTATACAAAACAAATCATATTCTATAAATTCCAATATATGGACCATTATTTGTATTAAAACAAGCAATACAAAAAATACATATACAATACAATACGATGAATACAGTAATTCCATGTTGATTTTTTAAATGTGAAAACGTAAAAATTGGGAATATAAAGTGACATATCATGGACCCAGGTAATGAGGGGGAGCTGGTGTCGGTGGGGGGGGGGGGGGGGGGGGGGGGGTCGAGGGAGGAGGAAGAACTGAAATATTACATGGGGGGTCGAGGGAGGAGGGGGAACAGAAATATTACATGGCAAGACATACCTACATGTTGCAGGGAGGGTAAGAAAGTCGTACTATCTTTTTGATGTTATCTTTCCCCTGTCCTTTCTTCATATCTGTTTCTCTTTCGTTTTTTAAAATTTAGATCATGTGGCCAACCCCCCCCCCCCCCCCCCCCCCCCCCCCCCCCCCCACCACCACCCTTGACTATACCCTGAATATAAATGTATACAACTTATACATAGTAATCTCCTCTTGGATATGAATTTACTTAAGAGTAACTAAAAATACAAATACTACAATACTGGGATTACTTAAGAAATGAATATATTTCTGTGATGAATTTCTTGATAGTAAAGTAATGGTACCTACCAGTATTTAATAATTGAAGTGTGCACATAGTACTGTAAATAACTCATGAACTACAAGTGTGCACAGTATCATTACCAAATAAACAACATGATAAAAATGCAAGGTGTTGTAAAAAATGTATTACAAATACCCCAACCTCCTTGCCCGATTTGGCAAGCAAGATAATAAACAGTTTATAGACTACCTGCCTCTGATTTTTTAAAGCCTTTTATTGTTTCTACTTTAAAATGTCAAAAAAGCCAAATGTATTGATAAGTTTCAACCAAATTAGTGGCTTGTTTTACTGTCTCCGACTGAGAACTATGGAGGGCGCTATTTAGCTCTGCTGTACTTTGCCATTGATTAGGATGGCCCTGCTTCTGTACCAGACTTTTTTATTTTATTTTTTTAATTTATTAATTTATTTTTTTCATTTTTATTGGGTACTCAAAAAAACCAACTGGCTATTGCTGCTGTACCGGACTTTACTGTAGGCAAGCTTGATTGTACAGTCGGTGACTGCTGTATGGAAGATCAGTTGGGCTAAGCTTGGGCAGAGCAATCCAAATACATGTGCAAATTAAATAATTCACTATGAAGTAAACACATTCATTTTGAAAACAAATGGTTCTAACTTCTAAGGAACTCATTTCAAACATGAATCATAAAAGCAAAACTTTGCAGGAATTTGACCATAGAAAGATAAAAGATTTCTTAGATTTATAATGGAAACAATACAGAGAGTGGGCTTACACATGTAACTATGTTTAATGGATCCAATGGAACTAGTGCGACCTTGAGTAAGATTATGAGCGATCCAGAACAAACTCTGAACAATTTTAATAAAAAGGTAATCCCAAAACATAGAAACATCCGCATTATCATCATGTATATATATATATATATATTTCTGGCTTCACTTGTAATATGAAAGACCATGGTACTGATTAATATCAAAGAAATGAAAATCTGATTATCATTCCTTTGCCCTTTTTCATGAGAACAAGGCACTTTCATTTTGGATGAGTTGTAAAACAGTTGTAAAAAAAGGTATTTATTGGAGGTTAATGGAGAGGGGAAAGTTGGGCTTAGACAATGAGACATGACGTGACTGGTCAAGACTTTAGAGAGAGAGAGAGAGAGAGAGAAGAGAGAGAGAGAAAAAGAGACAGACAGACAGAGAGAGAGAGAGTGTGAGAGAGAGAGAGAGAGAGAGAGAGAGAGATGGAGGGAAACAGGAAGAGAGGAGTAAATAGAGGAAAAACATGAATGCATGAAATTCAACAGGGATGTCTACACTCAATCACTGATGACAGGTATTCAGGAAAACAAACTGTACCTTTATAGGTCTAAGAGGTGGGGGTGTAGGCCTCCACAGAATTGGGTGAGTTTTTTAATTACCAGTATTCATGTAGCTTTCACCTAATTTTGAAAGAGGGGGCTTTTGGAATGTTTATGTCTCCTGTAGATCATTTTGATGATAATAAATTTTCAATAAAACAAAGGATACAAATACATAAGAACAGAAAAGTCGATATTCAGGATAATATAGAGTTGCTTCGTCCATGAGCTGGTCAAAGTTTAACAGAGCAGAAACTGAAAAAAAGATTTAGTGACAAAACTAGACAATGCAAAAAGAATTCATGAACCTTTGTATATCACAGAGATAAGGATTCGCCCTTTTTCTAGTCCATAAATTTTGAACTTCATTGTGTACTACAAGTTCCTTATATTTCTTATGGAGCAGATATATTTTTGCTGGAGGTTATGTAGCAATATATCATGCAAGTCAAAAAATAAATCATATATACCGGTATATATATATATATATATTTGTATATATCACGAAAAAATAATTCTGTTCCATCATACAAATTGAGAAAAGTTCATTCTAAACAACTTTCAGTAGACACATATAATGTTTTTCCTGATTTGTCAGCTTCTACTCTGGTGTAAGAAGCTTAAATTCCCCTCGATAATGTATTGCCATTAAAGGCACACTGTCCTACTTGTAGCTACTTGCTCCCTCTATATAGAAAACTTCCCCAATCGGTGCCTGTTGGTCCCCCATGATCCTCTTTTTCTTATGTTAAATGAGAGCTGAGTTAATGAGATAGCCACCTGTCACAGTGACCTCGCTGGCTCGCTGGGTGGTCTAATCCCTTCTAGCTGAAGTAGTAAAGCCTGCCTTTAAAAGCTACTCCCATGGAATAAAAATCATAGTGCAACATTAGATAGCATCGGGGTCCTACCTGCAGACTAGCTGCTACCCTGTTCTACTCATATGATTCCATTTGCTGTTGAAGAGGCACTTCTACATGGTGTTACTTTCTCAAGTTCATGAGAAACTGATTCCTGATCTCCTGCATCATCCAGTGCAGATTCACTCAACATTGTTGCTGGATTTTTGTGATGTGAGCTATAATTATCATCATCGATGTCACCAATGACATTTGGGGTTGGGCCATCAGTTCTAGCAGATACCGAAGGGTCACTCCCTGAAAGGGCAGCATCATCACTCAGCCACTATTCCATTATCTATCAGGTAACCATGTTTGTCCAACGGTTGGTTTTCATGTCCTGACAGGTCAGATTTCCGCACTTCTAAGTCATTCTGGAGAGCCGATCCCACTCCTGACGCCAGATTGGAGTCTCTGGTTCTAGTCTCTACTCTTTCAGGAGATAAATCATACCTACTCACATTCTCACCAGATGCATCCCCTATTATTCTCGAGGATGCCGACGGTGATGCTGACTTGGAATGTGACCTTTGACCTCCTGCTCGTGAATGAAGACTGAGCTGCTCCTCGATAGTGTTTGGAATGTTATTGGCTCCTAAAGATATATGAATACCATTTTGTGACAGGTTCTCCTGGACTGTATTGAAGTTTGTATCTGCATTGCTTCTGATGTTGATTGGATCCTGACCCTGCACCTGTAGTACAATCACTGAGCTGTACATGCTGATCCTCGGGGATGACAGACTGCTCCCGGAAGCACCCTGTCCCCCTGGAATGCCATCCTAATAATAATAATAATAAAAATGTTACTTATAAAGCGCTTACCACGGAAGTCTCTTAGCGCTATAACAAACAGATAGACTGATAACCAATTACATATTAAACAAAACAAAAAAGTGCAAACCTACAAATTACAATACATATGATATACACATCAATGCGAACAGAGTTAGTTAATCATAAAAATCCTAGTTTAAGAACATTACAAATCAATAGGGACAAAATCATATAAATGTATGCATTCAACTTTAACTTTGAAGGATGGAAGTGAAGTCATTAAGAAACATTTAATTCCTCCCGTCTTACAGGTTTTTGAACCTTTAAATACATTACACAAAATCGTCTTACTTATCAGTACCAAGGACTGAACCTGAGCAAAAGATTGAAAATGGGGATTGCTTTCAACAATTGAAGCCTATTGACATAAATCTCTCATACTTTCCAACCTGAACTGAAAACTTGATAGAATTAAAGAAAATAACCTGGTGGAATTCATGAGGTTTAAAATGTCAAGTGTATCTGAAGTAATATGGAATGTTGCTGGATCATATGGGAGTCTGGAGTGACATGTAACAGACAAGAAGAGAGGATCAATAAAAAATATAAAAAAATAAAAAATAAAATTGAATGAAAGATGTGCAACATAAACCTAATCTAATTTGCAATACATCAGATTTTTCATTTTATGTGATATGTAGTTTTTTTTTGGTAAAGAAAGATTCACATAAAGTTATTTGTAAATGCACCTGTTGAGTGGAGTTGTTATGTGGCGCCTTCTCTCGGGTTTGACATGCCTGTTCAAGGTCATTACACTTCTTCTCTAGCTTGGAAACCTTGTTCTGGAATAGCTTCATCAGATTGGTGTGGTCCTCTGAAAGTTGGTTGTACTTTATCGCAAATGATTCTGCTAGACGTTTCCAATGAGGCTAAATAGATATAACAAAGGTACATTGTTTTCATTAGTCCCTGTTTTCTGAAACAAACATATATGCCATTGTAAATCAACTGAAAAATTAAAACGACACCCAGAAGTTACACATCAACTCATATCCATACCAATATCCCACTGCTGCCTTTATGCCAGTCACACCACGTTCACCCGTGACAAGGCAAACCATGACTTTTTCTGAAAGTTACTCAATTCTATATCGCCAATACCCCCGAATGCCCCGACGTTGACCTTTTGGATGTAATTTTGAACTACTTCCGGTACTTACATGCTTTCGATGTATACGGTTCATGCATGTAGGGACTAGGGAGCTAGCTAGATCGGTTACTACAGCTGCCTGAAATGGACCGAAAATAACTAAGGCCATGAAATCAGGACATAAAATTTATAACTGGGCATTTTGGGGTATTGGCAATAGCAGGAATTCATATCCATATCCCACCGCCACCATTATGGGACTTACCTAAAAAATCTGGCCTGCCAAATTAAAATTACTTTTTACAAAAGTTCCACATCAATTCATACATCCATATCCCACCGCTGCCATTTTGCCAGTCACACCACGTTCACACAGGACAAGGTAATCCACCTTAAAAAATCTGGCCTGCCAAATTAAATTGACACCCTTTTTTCCAAAAGTTGCACATCGATACATATCCATATTCCACCGCTGCCATTATGCCAGTCACCCCGCTTTCACACATGGCATGGTAAACCACCTGAAATTCTGGCCTGCCCAATTAAAATGACTAACAGTATTTGCAAAAGCTACACATCAATTCTATGAAATCAAAAAGAAGGATAGGAACTGACTAGGAAGAGATGTGTTTTTCCCTGGCTTGCATCGATCAGTCGCCATTGTGAGAATTTCTGGCAACCCATGGATATCTACATCATGAATTCGTTATCATTTCTATCAATTGAACGTATTCACTGCTATCTAGAGGCATTTGGATTCAAATTGCAAAAGGTATTTAAGAACTTACATCATTTGATGAAGAAGAGTTGGCTACTTCTACTTCTGGGTTAGACTGAAGCCGCTGATCACCTGGAAACAACAAAGAGTCGTAAAAAAATGATGAAAGTTGAGACACTTGAATTTATTTCATTATAATAAATGTGCCTGTCAAAGAATCTTTTCTCCTATCAGTGACTGAAAACTCATAATTCAAACACTTACATACATGAATGTGCATGCTTTGCATGTATGCCCTTGTCTGTAGCAGGAATTATCACAGAGCTCCGTAATATCTAATTGGTATAATTACATTCATCAAAACTTCATGACAGTCCTGCATTTACATTGTGATTAGCAAACATAATTATACGTTTGTTAACTGCTAGCCTTGAAGCAAAATCTGCAAATCAGTTGTTACCATACACTGTACATGAATAACTAATACAAATACATTTCGAAGTTTTCCAGTTATATTTAGAGAATGCGATACAAAACATACAAATAAATTCAGGAATACAAAAACGTACCTAATCTATCATCACTAATATTCATTATATCTTCTCCTTGCATCTGCCGAGCCATAATCATCTCTAATTTCTGTCTCTTCGCCTTAGGTAGGAGTCTTGTTGTTCTCTTGCCCTGTCTGTAAACTGGTACAACTGGATTGATAAAGAAGTCTGTCATCGCTCCAGAATGCTGCGGTACACCCTCAGCAGCCTCACCTTCATCGTCATCGTCCAGATGATGATTGCTAGGTTCATTCCCTGAGAAAATATTTATTATTATTCAGAGAATCCAATTTGAAAATCAAGGTCATTGTTCACTTTGCAAGAAAGTTGGCTTTATATAAATTTACATACTTTAAAAACCATATAACATGAAGACATACAGGCAGACATGTGGCACATATAAAAGGGCAGAATACTTATAAACTTACTTTCCAATAGACTATCACGTCACATGACTAAGAATATGTTTAATCCAATCTATCAGCAAATACTAAATCTTACTAATAGCTGCGATTAATCGAGAATCACTATAGACGTAAAACATGAAAGTATACAAGTATACTAACACTTCAACAAGCTCTGCTTCAAGTTAGTTCCTCTTTTCTCGCGCTATTTCCATTATATTTATTGTTTCATTGCATATTTGTTGTGATATAATTATTCTTGTATTATTTTTTGCATGAGAAATAAAATCATTTTAATCATTTGAATTATATTAGCTATAAAAAATACACAGTAAACATGATTTTTAGAGTCGATTGCATACATCAAGATCAACTTGTTTATTTTCCTTCTCATCCTCTATAACTGAACTTCAACAAAAGGGTGAGATGTTTTAGAGGCCATACCTGCTCGGTCATATTCCGCATCATTCTCCTCCTCTTCCTCCTCCTCTTCCTGCGACAGGGAGGTTGCTCCATTGGTATTGACCATCCACATCTTCCTCATTGGCGGAACAGCTCTCTCTATCCTCCCTCTTCCACCCATTGATGTTGATGGACCCTCTCCCTCACCCGGCTCCCTCTCCTCCTTTTCTTGCTCCTCCAAACCTGGAGACAATGGTTCATCCTTGATGAGATACTCCTCCCTGTTCTCCTCCATCTCAATCAGTTGCTCTGCTTCATCTCCCACCCTAGATGAAGATGGTTGCTGGGGAACGGTGGTTGCTAAGGATGTCTCAGATAACTCATTTAGAGGAAGATGAGGGTAAATTTTCTGTAGAGTCTTGATGTATTTTGCTAATATTAAAGAAAAACAAAACGCTTGCACTTATATATATATATATATATATCATAGGAATGATAAAAATACAAACATACTTCAATATATACTTCATGTACATGTACCATTGTACCTAGTATAAATACATCTGGTGCTGCAAGTTTCTTTCCAAAACTTTTAGGAATACAGCCTGCAGCCATAGATAAACCAAGTTTTGATTCATGTCAAAGATGTCATGAATATATTTTAATATATGAAATATGTTTCTTTCAAATAGTAGCTTCTGTGTCTTTTGCTTAATCTACTTAATTCACATGATCACAGAAAATCATCCCACATAAATGTGGAAAGTTAAGCTTGAGGTTACTGGGAAAAGTTGTTTGGACATTACATATTTTAAGAAAAATGAAATATGCACTCAATAGCAAAAAATAAATAATGTGGTTCAATATAATACACAAAATTTCTCCGCAGAAGTAAAAACAAAAGTAGGCATACATTGGACAGCTTATACAAGTAGAATAAAACAAGATAGGTGTTGAGCTCTTTCTTACCCATGGGGTTTGGTGGATAAAATGGTTCTTCTGTCAGATCAGCAGATGGTGGAATATAGTGCCTTTGGTTTCCTTCATCTTGGAAGTAAGAAGAAATAACAAAAATCTAAATTGTTAGATATGCAATCTAAATTACAGATGATTTCTGTCCCAGTCTTCTGATTTATTCATTAAGTCATTCACTATAAGTGCATCATATAGATAATTCACTGCTTTTAACCAAAAGATTGATATGAGTTTGCTTTAGAAAAATTTAGAAGGGAAAAGTGATATCAAAAGTAATCAAGTTATCAGACCAACATCAGTCGACCAGGTCTAATAATAATTTATATTAGAAGTCTTTATCATTATTATTATTTTCATCATTTTTATTATTATCATTAATATATATATATATATTTCATTATTACCATTAATTGATGTATATATATTTTATCATTATCATTTCATATTTAAAATCATTATTTTATAATCATCATGAACAAAATTGTTCTTTTTCTTTTAAAAACAACCTGTTTAGTTATGTAACAAAATTATGAGATATAACAAAAGTACTCAACTGATGATGATAATAGGTTGCATGTATAATCCCCTCTCCATCTCTCTCTCTCTCTCTCTCTCTCTCTCTTTCTCTCTCTATCATTAATCCCAAACCTCAAAAAGAAAACATACCATCTGTTGACCTATGGATTGAAGAGCTACAAGTAGCACCCATCATTCGAGTTTCATCATATCCATCAACGTCCTCTGGCTCGAAGAAGGCTCCAACCCGAAGCCTATCTATCTCTTCCACTCCTTTACTCGTACCAGCTCTCGAGGGTTTGATGGCTTGCTTGGATGCCGGTTTCGGAACAGATGCAATCTTCCCGCTCATCACCAGCATAACCTGCCTGTGTTTCGTGCTGTTATCATGAGCCTTCACAGAATCTAGCCGAAAATTGGTCGCACCATGAACAAAAGTATTGGTAAATTCTGCATCGTGTGTCCTCTGATATTCGCGACAGTAGATGCAAAACATGCATTCTTTCTCTGCGTTGAATTCCAGCCATGGGTACTCGACTACCCAATGTGGGATAAATGAGCGGGCCCGTCTGGTTTTATCGTAAGCTTTGTAGATGTTGCTCTTGGGGGACTTGGCAGCGAGAAGGCAGAGTTGTGCGCCCTGAGCTGGGTCGAGCAGACTACCATGTCTGGTGTCAATATTAATACCGTCTGTTTCCGCATTCATGTTCGCCAGTGTTATATCGCTGTAGACGGGCGTGTTATTGTCCACGTCGCCTGCTCTGCCGCGATCGACATCGCGGGGTTTCGCTCGATTTTCACGGGCTTGCTGGATTTCCATGGTCTGCTACGGTATACGACCCGTTCCTGGAGAATTTACGGGGGTTGTGGTACCAAATTTACTCAAATTGAACCCGAACCAATCACATTTTTATGTCAAAATGTTTGGCAACAGACTCGCGAATTCGGGCAGTAGTCAAGTAGCCTCTATCGCGTCCTGCCCTATTTTATGCATAATGAGGGACTTGCCCGCATGCGCAAATCAATCAAAACACTTGCCCTAGAGGGCCATTTTTGGAAGGCGACTCCATTTTGTCAGGGGAATATCTCTCAGATTGATTGGACATAATCGAAAGAAAACGTCTATTTTTCTGTAACTTATATATTTTCTAACAATTGTATTATTATTGAACTGATTTTAAACTCTAAATATGAATTTGGTACAAAATGTTGTTTTGTATTCATATTAATAAATGCAAACATCCCTAATACGTAATGGATCAGGCTAAAATCCCGGGAAATTGAACTTCCAGATAACGATGTCCCTGGTAGTACAGTGCACATAGTATATCTGCGTGGCAATGCCAGCATATATATGTTTCATGTTTCCTTGTGCATGATTTTATTCTCTAGCAAACAAATGTGGACCCAGGATTACATCGAATAGACAGATTTTAGAAGAGAAACTAATGTCACATTGACGAATGGTTCAATTTCGTGTGGTTCATGAAACGTTTAATTGATGTAGACCATTTTAAATAATAATAAAAATAATACTCAGTTCTTTTATAGCGCATAACACATTACAGGATAGCATGTCCCTATGCGCTTTAAATAGAAAGGAAAGAATTACAAGAAAAAATCATACAAATTAGAAAATCTACTTAGAAGCCAAGAAGTACATGTAGTGTTGGACGCTGAGTTCATGAGTGTACACTTTTTTGCCAGGCTTTTGTCAGATCGATGATTATACATGCAGTAGTGATTTTATTTTTTCATTGACTTCATGACAATATTTCTCCTCTGCAAGTTAGTTGCCATAATGGGCTATACTTAATTTATTCTGATAAAGGCTCGCAAAGTAGGCCTATACATTGTTCCTTTTTAGGTCATTGTCATTATTAGCCTTTCATTATTTGTACTAAAATGTACTGTTTATGTTATCATCAATATTAATTAAAATTTTTATTATTAATGTAATGCTTTTCAAATTTACTTTTTACTTGGCAACTTGCTGATAGATATGTGTGTAGGCTTGTGGAAACTGTGTGCGTTCATGTGTGTATGTGTGTGTGTGTGTGTGGGGGGGGGGGTCGTTCTCATCTGGCGTATATTACCAGTAAATATTTACCACGCTCATTCTTCTTGATTTTTTCCTCATATACACCTCTCCTTGTCATTCTCTAAGATTTTGTGGAAATTATCTCATATTCTTTAATTTTACCGAAAGACAAAATCAGTTCCAGCATGAAACACTCACTATAGGCCTACTCTTCTTTTTCTCAATTTCTTTCAAGTTTTAAGCACGTAAATGTGTTCTCTTTCCCTTTGTTTTTTTTTTTGCAACCGTATCCACTTATTCGCTCATCTTCAAAATTTCTCTTTCATACAATTAAATTACCTTGTTCTCCTCCTAATTCCATTCCCTTTTACAACATACTTATTCACTCTTTTGTGTAAACGATACCATTTCGTCAAAAGAACATATCGATATCAAATCATTTCCATAACAACTGAATTCCTCTTTTAACACACCGATCACTCATTTCCAACTTTAATTAACAACTCGTTCACTGAAGAATACCGGCACACTTCCAAAGATAGACACCTCTTTTAAAATACAATTATCTGAATATGCACAAAACTGACGCTGCGAATCGAGATTTCTAGTTGCTTTTTTTTATTACAAAGTTATTACATTCCATGATTTACATACTAGATTTAAAAATCAATAGTCTCTTTTTGGGCTGCTGGATCTTTCACATAAATAATTGTCTTTGTACAAAGTCTTTTTGACGTAGCTTGCTACTCCTCAAAATATTGAACTTTTCAGCTGCCGGTCCAAATGATTATTTCAGTCCAAAAGCAAAAGGATCCTGTGAATGTGCAGAAAAGTTGAGATGGCAAGTTATTATTCATACACATTTTGAAGTGAGTTTTTTTTTCTATGTGATGATAGATCGATCTACCGAAGATATTTTCACAAGAATCAGGGGTTGAAGTTGATTCACGAAAGTCACTAGCGTCCGACTCCACGTTGAAAACATTCGCAGACGGTTTTGTAATGGCGGGAAAACTAAAGACAGAGATGAGTTGAAGCGGGTTTATCGGGAGTTTAAGTCCAAGTGTCACAGACAAACAACAGTCACAAAAATATACAAAGTCTTTGTCCTATGTGGACATGCTTATTTCTTCTTTCCCTTTCCCTTGACAGCCTTCTTCGCTACCTTCTTCTTTGGTGTGGCTTTCTTTGCGACAGGTTTGGCTGCTTTCTTTGCTGCTGGTTTGGCGACCTTCTTCTTTGCGGCTGGCTTCTTGGCGGGCTTCTTTGTTGCCTTCTTTGCTGCTGGCTTCTTGGTTTTCTTAGCAGCTGGCTTCTTCTTGGGTGTGGCCTTCTTTGCGGCAGCCTTCTTCGGCGTTTTGGTTTTCTCAGCCAGGAGGAAGCTTCCTGAAGCACCGCTTCCCTTCACGTGTCTCAATTGTCCAGAGGTGACACCACGTTTCAGGGCCTGCTTGATGTGAACGTTAGCGTTGTCTCCTACTGTGAAGTTCGCTTTGACGTACTTGAGAATGGCCTGGCGAGATGACCCCTTCTTCTCCTTCAGACTTTCAAGAGCACTGGCGATCATGTCGCTGTATTTAGGATGAGAAGCTGGAGTCTTAGGCTTGCTGGCCTTCTTCTTTGCTGCCTTCTTAGGGGTAGAAGGAGCTGGAGCAGCAGGAGCAGCATCAGTATCAGCCATTGTTTATGTTTGAGTTAGACGTGAACTTGACACGAAGGGGGTGTGTTGTGAATGAGCAGACGACTCTGATATGATGGCAAACGAAAAATGCTCTGAGATAGGGACGCTGAGGACGCACTAATATATATTTATTTTTTGCGGACGTCGGGGAAAGCTTGTAAATAGAGTCTGCTGCGAATGTCTAAAATGGCGGACGTACAGACCTATGTGCTTGTCTTCGTCACTTTGGTTCCTTTTTTTAACATCTTGTGGAAATCGATAGAATTCCTATTGTTGTGTGCAGATACACCATATATTAAACTTTATGCCACGAGGTTCCCACAAGACATGGGCTCTCGCATTTACAGAAATTAAATCGGTTTTGAGAAACACCTTCAATCTTAAGAAAAGTGATATTCTTATGTTTTCCTTTATTTTAAGACTAATTAATGAGTTTCCGAATCTCATCTTTTCGACTATCAAAGACTAGTTCTTCAACTATGTAACTGACAAAAATTCATATTAACAGGAATTTTTGTACTTTGGTTATTCCTGGTAAACCCGACATAACTAACACATATTTTGCCTTCCCCGCCATCTTGTCAAATTAAATTTTGGGCGAAAAAATACAAAATTAACCTATTGAAACGCTAAATAAACAATGAGTATCTATTTGAAATAAAGGAGTGGCTAATTTAATATATATTAAAACCTAAATCACCATAATTGGTGAGAAAAACGAAAATTAGAGGCGATTTTGTGTTCCATACAACTTCTTTGCCTGACCCCCGCCTTCGAAGTTCTTACGAGCTTCAGCGCTAGCTCCTATTATCAATACACCAAAATTATAGCAAATATCTCTAAATTGCATTATTCTTCGATTGTCATACAGGTGATATATCATTCTCTTTCATATTTTACATGGCATGATGAAGATTTGCAGCTAAAATAGCTGAAACAACATGCGATAATATGACTTTTCATTTTTTTTAATTCTTGGTCTTGTGTATGCCCGAGCTCGGAATTGACAAGCGGCTTGACAGAAAAATTTTCTCGCTGCGTCACAATCGGCATCCACTAACTGTATGGAGATGCAGTCCCAAACAATATTTTTTTTCTCTAATTATTTCATGGAATTTTCTTTTTCTCCTAACGTAATACACTTCAGTCAAGATATTTTCACACTTTCCTAACATTAACGGAGGGCATTAATTGAATTTTAAGGAAAATGCGGGGGAAAACGGACGGACTCGCTTTGTAAAGGAGGCGCTGATTTGGCTTCGTTCCCTAATGATGTACGATAAAGAATCGCTAGAGAACGCGGGCATTCAACTCAGTTCCTGTTAAGAAAGATGATAGAAACAAAATGAAATTATCCCCATCCCTTTCAACCAAACAGTATTATTATTTGGAAAAAATATTACTTTTCTAGCAGTATGGTTAATATTAGACGAAGATGTTTCATGAGAACTTTTAAATAAACCGTATTAATAGTGGCGCGAGAAAACACGGAAACGCAACTTTTACAAAAACTGAGTTTCAGCGCACACTCATTTTTTTTCCAAGAGCGAATATAGAGCATAGCCATAAATGACTTCGCAATGTACTTTATACAAATTTTGTCATATTGTTTTTAAAGGATTGCGACGTCAAGACTTATTTCTATCAGAAAACTGTTTTCTAGTACAGAGACAGGGGTTATAGTTCTACATTAACATGACGTGATCACAAATGAGATTCGAATTCTCAGCATGTGGATAGTTCGCTGACATTATAGATGGTTTATGTTTTGCATCGCGATCCACACTAGAGAGAGTGTGAGTGTGATCTTCTTCTTTCAGCAAAGAAGAAATAAATGTTATCTGAAATTCCAAAAAGAAGATATATATATAAACAATTACACCACAATTATGATCCTGTACTCAGTTATATTGTAACATAATGATTGTACATATTGCTTTAGGCTTACATGGGCTCAGTGCCTGAAAGTGGATGAAAAGTGGCGGAACTCATGGAATGATGCAGGAGTCTATTCTATTATCATGGAATCGATGCTGACTCTTAATGTTCTCCAGCGAGAAGGTTTTGACGGTTTCATACAGTTCATACCTCCTATATTCTTTCACAATTACAAGAAATATCACAAACCACTAAATAAAAGTCGCCTCATTTGGTGAATGTATGTTGCATAATATTATAGACCAACACAGAACTGATTGAACTCATGATATATTAATAGAGAGATTTGTGATAGTATATAAAGTGTTATTTATTATTAGTTTTCTCCTTTGACAAAAAGAATCGGTAGATCAATCTAAATCGGTATTTTGTTTATCATATAAAAACTAAAAACATTCACAATACCATGCAGTCTACAAGTTTGTTCATTTTGACCTTGAATATCAACCACAAACCACTCCAACACGACAATGATTCCAACTATATACTTGTATACTGTTCGTGTCATTGTTCAATTAAATTCATTTGCGTTTATCAAAATATGTTAATATTCAGAAAGATTCTTATATATATTTATTAAGCTATGATTTTTTTTGTTATTACAGGATTTTCGTCCGTTGTATATGCGAATTCGTTGAATACAATGTTGCAGTATTGTGTATGATACTTTGTTGAGTGAAAACGCATTACAACATTCATCATGTGTAGAATAAAATTGCTCTTAAACTTGTATCCACTAATTCCAAGCCTTTACTAACTGTTACTTCTTTTTCATCTTCTATAGGATACTTTCCCCGGCCAGCTTTTTTTCTATTACAATCACACCATATATTTCAATATTCTTGTATATTCTTTTTATCAGGCATTGTTGGCATTTTGTCTTTGCCTCTATTTCATTCATTTCTTCCTGGCCCACCCAGGCTATATTCCCTTTCGACACTCGCTGAAAAAAATGATTAAAGGTAATACAAAGTTTTGGGAAGTTTGAAAATTGGGTGGAAAGTGATTCTTTACAATTTTGATATATATTTAGATGTCCCTGTAGATGTATTATAAGCACAAGAAAAATTAGCCCCTAAAACACTTCTCCTTTCGAGAAAAATTGAATATAAAAATTTACCGGTGCTCCCGGTAAATTTTGATAAAATTCAAATAGCGCCTACGGCCGTACAATGGTAGCTGTGCCCATGAAAATCTCAGAATATGTAGTTGTGATATTTAATTTACAAACGGGAATAGCTAATTGGTCGATTTTAGTCAAGAAACATTGTTTTATAGCTTAATTAATATCTTGACCTTGAGAGGGAGCTACATAACATAAAGAGTTTGTTATTTACAATTTCATAACTTTAGACTCGATTTCATCCGCAACAACGATCCCTGAATATTGTAGGATCGCATATGCTTCCAATATGTTCATTTGAACCAAATTCATGACCCCATCCCAAAACTTTGTATTACCTTTAAAGTTTGCAGTTATGACCAAACACTATTGATGGGTCTATAGCTAATGCAGCAGCCGTCAGTAACTTTAAACAATATTGACAAAATTGAATAAATTAACATTGTTTTTGTATGACAAAATAATCATTATATTTTCAAACGATTTACTTTTTTCGCTGATGAAAACATGTTACACGATTTTTGGAGTTGTTAACCCGAGCTGTCTTCTTCTTCTTCTTCTTCTTCTTCTTCTTCTTCTTCTCCTTCTTCTTCTCCTTCTTCTTCTTCTTCTTCTTCTTCTTCTTCTTCTTCTTCTTCTTCTTCTCTCCTTCTTCTTCTTCTTCTTCTTCTTCTTCTTCTTCTTCTTCTTCTCCTTCTTCTTCTTCTTCTTCTTCTTCTTCTTCTTCTTCTTCTTCTTCTTCTTCTTCTTCTTCTTCTTCTTCTTCTTCTTCTTCTAAGGGTGCATTTAGACACATTTAATACTACCTGAATAGTTCATAGGACTCCTGCAGATTTTGAAAATTAATGGGAAGCAAACAAATATCTTGAAATCCTCATACTCTCAAAAAATACTCACGTCCTCTCTCTCCCTCTCTCTCTCTCTCTCTCTCTCTCTCTCTCCCTATCTCCTTTGCCGCCTCCTTGCTCTCTCTCTCTCTCTCTCTCTCTCTCTCTCTCTATCTCTTCCTATCTCTTTCTCTTTCTCTCTCACTCTCTCTCTCTCTCTCTATCTCTTTCTCCCCTCTCTCTCTATCTCTTTCTCCCCTCTCTCTCTATCCTTTTCCGCTCTCTTGCTCTCTCTCTCTCTCTCTCTCTCTCTCCCTCTCTCCACTCTTTCTCTCTCCCTTTCAGCGTTCCTGCTCACTCCCCCCCCCCCTCTCTCTCTCTTTATCATAATGCTCTCGCTTTCCACTCTCTTGCCCTCTCTCTATCTTTTTGCGCTCTCTTTCTTTCTTACCAACTTTTAACATCTATACGAAGAGATTTTGTTAACAGTTATTTTTGAAAAGTTCAAACTTTTTTTCCTACGATGATATTATATTCCACATGAAAATAGAAACGATTAGGCCTATATTCTAGCTCATGCATATATACACTTACAAGTGCTAAAATTTCCTTTCATAAAAGGGTAAACCCAAATATGATAAAGGAGTGTCGTTACTTTAATCTAATTTATTCTCGGACTACATTATCATGATTTATATGACGGTAATTTTAACCGGATATTTTTCCTAGGCGCGTCGGATCGGATTAATCAACATTACAAATATGATATCCGCACTTGCATTAAAGCTTCTCCGTCGAAACATGATCTTCTTCAGACAGTACTATGTCATGATGTGTTAATCACTTCCGAATCAATATCCCGCCACCTCTTTCTTTTTCACCTCAAGCTAAAAGGCAGTCATAAATACATACTGCATTAAAACCTTACGCTGATGAATAATGAAACTTTCTTGTCGCTCGTAATTATTATTTGTGCGTCATTATAGTTGCACGTTGTCATTGTAGACATGGCATCATAGTTAATGATACTGCATATTTGTTTTCCTCTATTTTTAATTTTGTTTTGTTTAACATAATATATATTAATATATTTAACGATTCGCTCTTATGCGATCCATAGGTACTAGCTCTATATATGACATGGTATTCTATATTCTATATCTTCTTGCTTTGTTGTCTCTCATGATTGCATCTTTCTTCTTTCTGGTAATTTATGTCTTTCC